CCCCAAATCCCCACCCTCACCCCCACTCCCTTCTGTTGGCCACGGTTAGTTTTCATTAAATAAACCAAATGAAAATATAAATAATCAAACATGCCTGAATTTTAATTACATGTAGTTTATTGAATATTTATTTATTAGGGTTTTTTTGTTGGTTGGGATTTTGTTTGTTTATTGTGGTTGTTGGTTTGGGTTTGTTGTTTGTTTTTTTGGGGTTTTTTTTTGGGGGGGGGGTGTGTCAAATTCTGTTGAAATAGGTAGATGTTGTCCCTCCTCAAATGTTAATCGGGCCGTGTGCAGCTGTGTCACAGTACACCACAGCAAATAAGGATTTGACGAAATCTGTCCCTTGTGTGCGCCGGGTCTTAAATAATTAGGCCTAGCCGTTACCGTTAGCGCTGAGATGACGTCAGGCGTTTATCTGTGACGTCAGGCGTGACGGTTTGTCCTGGACAGCTGGCTGGGAGGTCATGGCAGGGGGTCATGGACCTGTGCTGTGTGCCTTCCTTCGTGTGGCGTGTCCAGCCTGCCTTTACGTACGCCCGTCATGTCGTGAATTTGTCGTGACTCATTTCACCCAAGCCAGGCCGGTTTCTTTTCTTTTTTTTTCAGAAGGGAAAGGGAGGGGGGAGGGAGAAAGAGGAGGATTATAGGTGATAGATCTAGTCCAGAGAGCTTGACCCTTTCCGCTGGGGGTTACGTAGTACTTTTTGTACCCCGTGCCGCAGGTATAATGTTGTCAAACTGTCGTGTCTTGCGAAGTTGGCCTGCAGCGTTTGTCGGTCAAGACTTGATAAGGCAAAGAAGGGGTTGTGGAGGCGGGAAAGGGGGGGGGGCGGTAGTAGGTGTTAAAAATCACCAAGCCTGCTCGTGTACGGTTTTGTTTAAGTATCTCGTAGACTTTTATGACAAGAAGAAAGAGAAAGAAAAAACAAGAACAAGATGAAAAGGAAGCCATCCATGTCTCTAAAAGTCTCCGTCTATATCCGGCCCAGGGGGTTCATTTGAGTGTCGTGGCTGACACAGGTGGGATTACTTTGGTGACCCAGTGACTCGTCGTGACCCTATTTCAGGGAAGTTAAGAGGGAAAGGGGGGG